CTCCTGCAGAACCTGCCCGTGACAGCAGCTCTGGGATGCTGCAGTACCTGCAGTCCTGGTTCCCTGGCTGGGGAGGCTGGTATGGATATGCTCAGCAGACATATGAAGGGGAACCTTTTGAAGGGCTGCTGCCAGACCCCAAGGAGCAGTGGAATCCAGAAGATATACTGGGTATGGGAACACAGGGTTTGGTACCTGCTCCAGGTGGGCAGAGAGAGCTCTGGGCTTGTTCTGTTAAAGGATTCTGTGCCAGCTGATGTGCCCAGGCAGCAGAGCCTGCCTGAAGCTGAGCAGCCTGGGCAGTGTGTCAGTGCCTGGGTACCTGCTGGTTTCCAAAGCAATACAGGGAATAGGTTTGCTGTCACTGTTGCTTAATTCTGCAAATTCATTTATTGTTATTATTCTGCAAAGGGTTTTGGGACTTCTGTTCAAGTGTATGTGTGGGTCATGTGCTGAGTGTAATAGGAATGGTACTGACTTGTGGGGTCTTTGTTAATTCAGGCTTACATTACCCTGATTGAAATAGAATATTCCATGAAATTCTTTCTTTTAAGAGGAAAAAGGTCTATCTGCTCTAAATTTTGTTTCTATTTTTCCCCCCCCAAGAGCTAGAGAAATCTTTATTTTCATATTCATACTTGTTCTTCAGTAGCCCTCCAGAAACTTCATTTATTTAATGTGTTGGTTTTGTTTTTTATTAGGCACGGATGAATTTTTTGATCCTGCTGCAGATGCTTCCAGCATGAATACCTTTACCAAGAGAGATCATGTTTTTGCTAAATTAAATCTACAGCTGCAGGGTGGCTCTTTCACTCTGTTGCATAGGAAGAAAAAGGTACTGCATGCTGAAGAGACTGCTTTTATGCAGCTGGAGTTTTCAGGTATTAAGCCCATTTCTGTTCTTTCTTAAAAAAGATGAGAGCTGTCTCACAACCGTTGTACTGTATAACAAATTTCCATTTTAAATTTTTTAGTAGAAAAAAATATATATAAAGACTTCAAAAATACTTGCTTGTTGGACAGTATTTTTTATTTGTAACATTTAAATAAAATGTATGCTGTACTAAAAGAAACAAAATAATTTTATGTATTTATATTCCAGGTGTAAAGGTGTTGGCAGAATCCCTTCCTCGCAGAAAGTCTTCCCTTCTCAAAGTTCAGCTTGGTGGTCTTTTCCTGAGGGATTTGGCAACGGAAGGGACCATATTTCCTGTTCTTGTTTTTCCAAATCCTGTAGGTGACAAAACCCCTATAAGTTACTGTGTGAGATGCATAATTGTGTATAAAAGTAGCCATACTGCAGAACTCAACACATTTTTTATCGCAGAAAGGGAAAATAAAAGTATTGAGGAAAAGTTTCCACCTGTTGAATTTACTTTTCCCCTCTCCTTCCAAATAGCATTTGTTCTGCTTTACTTTATGCTTGTGATTTCAACCTTTCAGTTTTATGTGTTGAGAAGAAGAAAATTTGTTGAACAGCATTTGATTTTTGGAACAATCAGCGTTGCTGCTTAATCAGTGATTGTTCCTTCCATAAAGCTGCGTGGCCCAAGTAATGATTCTGTACCTGTATGCTGGTGAACTAAATGCACAGATAAATTCTAGAAAAGATTTCAAAATTCTCTTCTGAGTGAACAAAACTTGAATCTAAAGCCATGAGGATTTCCCATGTATTCTGTGCTTTGTACCGACTGCAATTTGCACTTCAGGAGTGGAGAGTGTTTGCTATTTAGTTATATTTTCTTCTTTTGTTTGACCATGTCAGGGGAAAAAATGCATATAATAATCTCAGACTATACACACAGTTCAACAGAAAAGATTTCTATGTTTATCAGGTGGCTTGGTTGATTTTATCTGAACAGTCTTTTTCTTTTAAATTCTTATTAGCAAAAAGAGGTTGGCTGCATGTCTTCCTTTGGACTCCAAAGTTTGTCCTCAGAAATGAATAATCACAACACTGGTAATGATTTCATTTTATGTTTGATAATTCCTACAAACCAGAAATTTTGAAAATAAATACCAAGAGTTTGAATTAATGCAAATGCTTTTTGCACATGGTAAAGATAAAATCATAGAAGCTTTGTTCAAGATGTAAGGTGCATGCAGGTTGTCTTTAAAAAAAGGAAGAAATTATGTATTTCAGGACAACAGGAGTTGGCACTTACTGTTTGTTGTGGTTCAAAAAGAAGTAGGAGTTCAACATTAGAACCCCAATTATACAAAGGTTTTTGTTTATATAATTTGTTGAATTCTGCTGATTGTAGAAGTTGATAATATTATTTCCTTTTCTATTACTGAAAGAATCCTTAGACACTTGTACTTTCCCAGTAGTGCCAGTTAAAAATCAGTTGTTAAATACTGTGGGAGTTGTTTTTTGCTTTTGTCTTACTTGTTTATTTTGGTTTTTTTTTACAGCTGCTTTTTTAAAGTAATTTTTTATTCTGTTGCAGACCCTGATGCCCCAGTGTTTGAGATGCTTTATGAAAGAAATCCAATTCACAGCACTTTTGAGAGGCGCCTGGAAGTCAGTACCAGACCATTAAATATTATTTACAATCCACAAGCCATTAAGAAAGTAGCAGACTTCTTCTACAAGGGAAGGGTTCATACCTCAGGTTAACCTTTAATGTGTTTTTTTGCTGGGGTTGGGGTTTTGTTGGTGGAATTGCATCTTTTCTTGTCTTTGATTTTCATTCTTAGAAATATAAAGCAAAAAATCTTCACTTTGTTTAACAATACTCCAAGTCTTGTCTAGAGAGTTTTGTTCCTTTGTTTTGTTCTTTGTTTAATTAAATCAGGGATTTTGCTTTGGTAGACTCATGGCAACCTCTGCTTTAAAATTGCAAGTTGGTGTTACAGCCCATGGTGGATGTTCATGTCCCCTAAATTAAAATGCATAAATAAGGAGAGGGGATTTGTTCCTGTAATCTGTTCTGGCAATTGATGGAGTTTATTTCAGAGGGCAGTTGAAAGTTTTATATTATTTCTGTAGTAATGATACAGAGGAAATAATATTCTAATTCCTGGTATTTTTTTTGTTTTTTGTGGATGAGATTAAGGCTGCCCTTTGTTACAGCATCTTGATACCTTGATTTTTAGATTTGAACATACTTGTTCCTTAAATTTCTAAACACAGGATTTAGGGTTCTAGTACCTAAGCCTGTAACACTGTAAAGTGGCCACCTTTGCAGTTTCTGAGATGAGAAGTGACAGTAAGTAACATTAGGAACATGAAAATATTCTTGAAATACCAGTTTGTTTTTTCTGCTGATTATCATAAATACCAAAACATTCAAGTTACCTTGTATAAAGATGCATGTGGCATCTATTATCACAAGGTGAGAATATTCCATAAATATTCAAATTTAAAACAAACAAACCAACAAAGCAAACAAAAAACCACTGCCTACACATGCACATCTTAATGTTTAGTCAGAATTTCCTCTGTGGCCATACTTAGCACCCTTTCTGCATTACTCAAATTTAATTATTTGGGCTGGAGGTCTGTGAGAGGATAGACCTCCAGAGAAAGATCAGAAAATGGATTGGGAAGTATTTTTTAGGGTGATTATTTGTTTTCTGCTGAAATACTTCCTTTTTTTTTTGTGCAGCAGCCTGGTGATGGCACAGAACAGTGACTTTCACCTGCTTTGTTTTCCTGTTCTGTATTTTACTGCTAAAATTTAAAAGAAATATTTTATCTTTTTTTCTTTCATTTTTTGTTCTGATTCAATGAAGGGTGAACAAAGTTATACCTAGTGAGTTTTGCCTCTCTTGTGCAGGTTTTGGTTATCAGTCTGAGTTGGAGGCAAGAGTGGCTGAAGCTGCCAGAAGACAGTACAACAAGCTGAAAATGCAGACAAAGGCTGAAATCAGACAAACCATCGATCGTTTATTGGTTGGAGATTTCATTGTAAGTTTTTGCCCCCTGAATGTTTATGTAGACTTTTACCTTTTTTGCTTTAGGATTTAGAGCTCTAAAAAGTGAGGTTTGTTGTTTGTGGGATGGTCTTTGTGAGCAGGAGGGGAGTTTTCCAGGATTGAGGTGCAGGGCATGTTTTCACCTGCTGAAAATGTTCTGTTTTATTGAGCCATGTGAGAGTCTGTGGTTTAACAAGGTACCAAACCTGAGTGTGGCTGGAGTTTGTGACAATCAGCTCATCAGGAGAAAAAGTGACAGATCAGATGTTTCACGTGGCTTTTTTTGGTTTGTTTTCTTGTGGGCCATTATGTCTTTCTTGTAAACTTTCAGGAAAACAGCAAAAGCTGGTCCGTGTGCCTTGATATCTCTGCCCCTCAGGTGATCTTTCCCGATGATTTCAAGTTTGTGGATCCTGTCTTAGTTGTTGTGGATCTGGGAAGAATATTACTCACAAATTCTCAAGGTATGATCTAGAAATATTGCAGCTTTCCTTTTCTATCTTTTTCAGAAAGTCAGAACTTTAAAAAAAGGGCAAAAAAAGTACAGGGAAGTTTTGGGGGATGTTCTTGCTTTGTAAAGTAGAAAAAAAATCCTTTCCTTAAGATGATAAAATGAAAGTTAATGTTAGGCAGTAAAGCCAGTTGGAAAAAAGCTGATGAAGATAAAAATACTGTAGTTAAGTAGCTCATGTCTTTCATTTAGTTTTGAGGATCAGAAGAATTGTGTGGGCAGAGTAATGGGTTCTTTTTTTGACAACTTGGTCAAAAGTGAATCTTGCAGGAAGTGGGTTAAAAATGAGACAATAGTGTATTTTAGTAGCTTCTGTACTGCATTGACTGACACCTTTGTGAATGTAGAAGTGTAGTAGGTTTCTTGTTGAGGAAAAAGGAAGTGACAGTGGCAGGAGGCAAGGGCAGTACCAGATATGCTCTGTGTTAAAAAAAATAGAACTTCAGACAGAATGATCAGATAATCATAGGAAACATCTGAGAAGAGAGAAGAATACTTTCATTTATTTTTGTTTACTGTTTTTTTAATCCACAGAAGATTCTAAGAGGAGTACAGGTGCCATTTCTTCAGAAGTCAATGAGCTGAGTGATGAGGAATATAAAACACCTCTTGCAACTCCTCCCAATACTCCACCACCAGAATCCAGCACCAATAGCGGCATCAAAATGTCTGAATTTACTGGAGTAGAAATAAGTGAAGAGCAGCTCCAGGCACACTTGATGAGTAAAAAAATGTATGAGAGATACACACTTTCTTTTATGGACCTTCAGATCATGGTGGGCCGAGTGAAAGACAACTGGAAGCACGTTCAGGATAGTGATGTGGGTCCAACTCACGTGGTAGAAAAATTCAATGTTCACCTGCAGCTGGAGCACAGACTGATCTACACATCTGACCCAAAATACCCAGGAGCTGTCTTGTCTGGCAACCTGCCAGACTTGAAAATTCACATCAATGAAGACAAAGTGCTGGCTTTGAGGAACTGTCTGACACAGCTCAGTACATCTGAAGCTAAGTCTTCAGATGCCCTGCATTTAGGGAAAGACAAGATTTTTGCAGAGGTTGACCAGTTTGGCAGTTTGCACGATTCTGTGATGAATCTGACCCAGAGTGTTGTCATGCTGGAGCAGCACACCCGGGAAGTTCTTGTTGAATCCCAGCTGCTTTTGGCTGAGTTCAAAGTCAACTGTATGCAGCTGGGTGTTGAGAGTAATGGGAGGTACATCTCTGTGCTCAAGGTTTTTGGCACCAATGCCCATTTTGTGAAAAGGCCTTATGATGCAGAGGTGTCCCTGACTGTCCATGGCCTGTTACTGGTTGATACTATGCAAACATATGGAACAGATTTTGATCTTTTGATGGCTTCTCATAAGAACTTGAGCTTTTGTGTACCAACAGGAAGCCTTCGAGACAGCAGGGCTCAGTCCCCAGTGTCTGGAGCACAAGATGCACATCCCATTGATGTTGCTGGTTTGGCAGAGAGGTGCAGTACATCCTCCACCACCTCACCCAGTAACGATGGAAAAGATCAAGAGTCCTTGATAAAATTGGAGTATCAGTTTGTGAGTGCAGAATGCCCATCCATGAACTTGGATAGCAGTCTGCAGGTGATCTCTTTGCAGGTGAACAACCTGGATATCATCCTGAACCCAGAGACTATTGTTGAACTGATTGGGTTTCTCCAGAAATCTTTCCCCAAGGAGAAAGAAGATTCAAGTCCTCAGCCTTTAATAGCTGACCTGGAGAGAGATTGGAGGGAACAGGAAACATTCCAGTCTACTTATGCACAGAACACAGAGGTAGCAGTAGATATCCACTGGTTAAATGTTCTCCTCCTCAGGACAGTTGCCATGACAAATGGAGAAAAATATGGCAGAAAAATTGCAACAGCCAGTATTGGTGGCACCAAGGTCAATGTGTCCATGTGCAGTAAACTGGATGTGAATGGCTCTCTAGGATGCCTTCACCTGATGGATCTGATTGAGGACAATGTGAAGAACCAGTATGTGGTGAGCATAGGGAGCACAGGGAGGTCTGAAAATCTCCTTGGTGATGTGAATTTCTTTGAATCTTTGCTCTTTAGGCTTGATGATGGAAATAACCTTCCAGATGCTTTAAGTTTCACTTTCACAGAAAAGTCAAAAGAGGAGTGTTCTCTCAACCTCAAAATGGCCTCCTTACACTACAACCACTCAGCCAAATTTTTGAAAGAATTGACTTTGACCATGGATGAGCTGGAAGAGAATTTCCGCAGCATGTTGAAAAGTGCAGCTTCAAAAGTTACAACAGTCTTGGCAACTAAAACTGCTGAATACAGTGAAATGGTTTCTTTGTTTGATACCACACCACGATCAAGAGATGTTGGCAGTGCAGAAGATAATGAAGGTGGCACATTTGGGTCACAGTCCCTCAAAGCTGATACTATCAAACTTATATTAAATGTAAACATTGAATCCCCCATTGTGTCCATACCTCGAAAGCCTGGTAGCTCTGAACTGCTTGTAGGTCATCTAGGACAAATATCTATTCAGAATTTTGTTCCAGGAGAAGATGAGTCTACAAGTGATAGGCTGCAAGTTGAAATTAAAGATATCAAGATGTATTCATTAAATAGTAGCCAATCTACAAACAAGAAGGAGCCTGCAGGTGGGATACCCCGAGGGTCCCACTCCTCATCAGGCCCTGCCAGCATTAACAGCCAGGAAGAATCTCGTTTTACTCGTCATGACTTCTTTGAATCATTGCATAAAGGTCATGGTATGTTAATTAGAGGAGTGTTAATTATTATAATATGAGTAGTATGTATGTTCAAAATATGTATTGACTATATATTCTGCTTCATCCATCCTACTAAAACACTGTGGTTACTTTTAATGACAATGGGCTAGTTACTGTATTTATATCCATTTTTAGTCTCCTAACCAAAAATGGAATGGTGCCTTGTAAGCAGAAATTGAGCAAAACATAACCACAGAACCTGAGTCCAGCATTGCTCAGATTCTGAGCAAGTTCAGTAGCTCCTGTGTTATCTCTTCCATTCAGTATTTATGGGCTGATCAGTTCACTTGCTCTAATGTTGCTTTAATTTCTCTTACAGCTTTCCACATTCTGAATAACACCACGATCCAGTTTAAATTGGAAAAGATACCACTAGAGAAAGATTTGGATTTAACTTTTCCTCTGTGTAACGAGGACTTGGGAATATCAAGCATTATGAAAATTGAAGGGAAATTTGTGAACCCTCTTCAGGTACAGAAATTCCATCAATATAAAAATATTTCCCTGCATAGAAGATAAGCATTTTTCAGTATCTTCAGGTTTAACATGTTAGTAGTTTAGAAATCAGATCCTTATAGACATGGTTAGAAGAGACAGTCTTAAGTCATAATAATAATGAGCAATATTTACCTTGTTTGGGGACATTTTAAACATCTTTATGAATTAGTATAACTTTTACTTATCTTGAATACAGAAGGAAATGTGTCACTATCCAAATGACTCTGTCCAAACAAGTTTATTTGCAGTTGTAGTTGAAACTAAGAATTAATATGCCATTATCTTGAAAAAACCTGTGCAAGAGCAGAGGTTTTAAATAGAGAGAACTGGAACTTGTAACACTTAGGAAACAAACCATGATGGCTGTGTAGAATGTTTGTTTCATTAATTACTGTGTAAGCTCAGGTGATTAATTATTTTTAATTAACTCTGTCTGGATGCTTTTTGCCCAGGAATAGAAGGTATCCTGTTCTAGGATCCCATCCCATGTGTTTCTGGGTGGTGTCACCTTGCAGAGCTCATACAAAAGAACTGTTTTGCTTCAGTTTTGCATTGTACCTTGTTTTGAGTTATTATTGTTATTTATCTTGGATGAACTTAAAATTTGTGTGGTTTGGAATTCCACTTACGAGTTTTAGAATATATGTATTGATTCCATTAATACAGAGAGCTCCAACGTGATGATTGTTCCTTTTATCTACATTGTAGGTGGTGTTAGCAAAACATGTATATGAACAAGTCCTTCAGACTCTGGATAATTTAATTTACAGTGAAGACTTGAACAAATTTTCAACCACTTCTGTATCTCCAGCCAGTCTTAGTTCTCCTTCAGCATCACTTCACAGTACAGGCTCAGAATTCTCGAGTGAACGGAAGGAAAATGGTTTATTCAGCCACTCTAGTTTTAATTCTGTTCCAAACAAGCCCTTAGCTATCAGGGAAACAAAATCCTTTACTCAAATTCAAGCAAACTTTCACATCTCAGAGCTCCAGGTTCAGTTAAGTGGTGATCTCACACTTGGAGCACAAGGTCTTGTCAGCCTTAAGTTTCAGGATTTTGATGTTGAGTTTGCCAAAGACCACCCTCAAACCCTGTCCATTCAGATTGCCCTGCGTTCCCTGCTGATGGAAGATCTCTTGGAAAAGAAACCAGACTCTAAGTACAAGAACCTCATGGTGTCCCATGGAGCACCCAAACCCTCCAGTTTAGCCCATAAGGAATATCTTTCCCAGTCCTGCCCCTCAATGTCCAATGCAGAATATCCAGACATGCCACGTTCCCTCCCTTCCCATATGGAAGAAGCACCCAATGTCTTTCAGCTGTACCAAAGACCAGTCTGTGCCTCCCGTAAGAAGCAAAAAGAAGATGCTGATTCTGAGTATCCTCTGACTCCACCTCCTTCTCCATCAGCAGACAGATCCAAGTTGCCCTGTGGAAAAAGTAACTTTGATGATTCATTAGTTCATATCAATATATTTCTAGTGGATAGGAAACATCCTGAATTTTCTTCTCGCTATAACAAAATTAACCGTAGCGTAGATGTTGATTTTAATTGTCTAGATGTGTTAATTACTTTGCAAACTTGGGTAGTAATATTGGATTTCTTTGGGATTGGATCCACTGCTGATAACCATGCTATGAAGCCGCAGCCTGAAGATACTCAGCAGACAATCAAAGCAGAAATAAATTCCTTGTCAGCCTCTCAAGTCCAAGAGCCTGTAAACACTAAGCTGGATCTAAAGGTATACTTGACATGGAAAACAGTAATTGGATTGTCTGTCATAAAGCATCTGGTTTATAGCAACTTAAGGTGACATTTACATCATGTGTTTTATTTTCTGGTGGGGAGTGTACATAAATGCAGAAACAGAATTAGAATGTGTGTAGATGTAGTTAAAGAAAAAAGAGTTGTAGAAAAGCAGAACATTTGTAAAATGCTTGGCTCCCTTGCTCTGTGACCCTCTCTTGAATGAAAAGGTTGCATCAATATTAAAGGGCTAACATACTGCAATTGGCACTGTGCTGCTCTAGGTACTGTGGAGTTTATTTATGCAAAAAGTCTATATTTTATAAATATATATCCATGTATGTTTATACATCTATATGTATAAACATGTTTTTTAAAAAACACATGTTGTATGTGTATATAATATAGTCTTTGCCCAGAGCCCTGCAGTCTAACTTACAAGGGACAAAAGAGAAGATGAAGGTAACAGTGCTGGGATTTGTTCTTGATCTGATCATTCTGAATTGCTTGGGAGACCCATTAATATGCAAACAAAGCAGTAAAAATGTTGCTCTCATTCAGTGTCTCCCAATCAGATAATTATTGTTTGCTATTCATGTATTACAGTGCAGTTGTCTTGGAAAAAAACTAAACAAGCTCTGAAGTCATGTTTTTCATACCAGTTTGTTCCTGTTTTATTTGACCAGGTCCATTCTTTATCCCTAGTCCTGAACAAGACAACCAGTGAGCTTGCTAAAGCCAGTGTGGCAAAGCTGGCAGCTCACTTGGAAGTGATTGGTGAGTAGATTGAGGGGCTCAGGTTGTTCACAGCTTAAAATAAAATGAGTGTACATGAGTAAAATGGGCACTGGAATTATGATTTTAAGTGATTTTCCTTTGGTGCTCATTGGGGTTTGTGTATTTTTTTCTGGGCAAAATGTACATTCTCCTCCCACTGCTTCTTTTGGTTTTTTAGGGTTTATTTTAAATCTTTACATTCCTCCCAGTTGCCAAACCTTTCATCATTTTAGCTGTGATTGGCTGTGATTTTAATACTTCACTTTCACAGAACAGTACAATAGTTTTTATTACTGTTCTAGAGGAAGCAAAGTAATAGTATCTAAGTTTCACAAATCAAAGTGGTGTGATCACATGATGTGTGTAAAGCCTATGGTAATGTGTGGCTTAATACAATCTTTGTAGCAGAAACACATTATTTTCTTTGAACATGAGGTTTAATATTTAATTGAATTGACTTATTTAATTACTTGTAGTGAGGCTGTTCCACTGATAGAAACTTTTGGGGTTTAGTAACTGCTCTGTGTTTGAGGATGCTGATTGTCTGTCCTTTGTTTTCCAGAGGGAGATTTGGCCTTGCAGGGAAGCATTGGAAGTCTGTCCTTGAGTGACCTCACATCTCATGGAGAATTCTACAGAGAACGTTTCACTACAAGTGGTGAAGAGGCTCTCATTTTTCAAATCTTAAAGTATGAATTTAAACTTTTTGTTACTCAATATTAGCTTGTTACTCCATTAACTTCCAAATCCCCTCCAAAAAAAAACCCAAAAGTTGAACAAACCCAGAAAACCCAAGCCCACAAGTGTCATGACTGCATGATTCTGCTTTGGCCTCTTGGGACTTATGTGGGACTTAAAAAACTTAAGTTTATAACTGAAAATATTCTAACTTATCTTTGTCTTGCAATGTATGAAGAAATGGAAAAGGAAAGGTAGTTTTTTATTTACCTCTAAAGGTGTTCTTAGTAGTATTATATGATAGTTTGTTCCTATCTAAAATGATTCTTTCTTTAAAGTTGGAAGAAGTTTTCAACTGACAAAATAGATTTTCCTTTGCTTCTTGATTTTGGAAGAAGGGGTTTGCTTTTATCATAATGTAAATATGAATTTCTTTGTTATGTTTTAAGGAATAGGTCTTATCTTGTGATGTTTTCTGTTTTTCCAATTAATCAGATTAGAAATTATCCAAGTAATATAATGGAATTAATATCAAATATGACGGCACACTGATCAGAATTGAATGTACCCATTATCCTGCAGTGGAGTGGTTACCTTAAAAGCCACTGTTTTGGTATAACATCACCAAAGGTCTAACTGCTATGCAGAGATTCCAAATGCAGAATATTTCTATGTACTTATTTAAAACTCAGCAGCACTTACATGTACAAAATTTAGAAGTAATTAATACAAAACAAATTTTTCATGTCTGCAACTCAGATAGTGTTAATTACACGCTGTGAGCGTTTGTTACATCTGTCCAGGGACTGGATCAGTCTGATAATCTGAAAGTTGGGAGTTCCATCCTCACAAGGGGCACCAGCTGTGGGTTTCTCTGGGATTGAAGGCACTGAGACAGCAGTTCATGCTCACACTCAGGTGTTTATTATTTCTTATCACTAAAACAGTCTCACTGCTGTGAGTGGGGCAGCTTTTCATTAGAAGGCAAAAATGCCCAACAATCTCTTGGTACAAGGGCTTTTCAGACTAAACTGTCCCATTAAGAGCTGACACCTGGATTATTTTCCCTTTTAACCCAATAACTGATCCCAAAGAGCTGCAATGGGCACTTTTCTGCCCAATTACAAAATGCCCCCCAAACCCATGGAGAAGGAGGAAGAAGAAGCATGAAGAAGAGACCCAGGACAGCGCCCTGTGCCCTCCATCTTGCTGCCATCCACAACATACTAAAAATCCCAAAACCCAAATTTCTCACCAAGTGACACACCTGCACTGCTCTCTATAATCTATTTCACACTTTTGTGGGTTCCAGTCTATCTTGGAGTCTGGGAAACTTTCTCCATGGATGAGGGTCAGAGTCAGTGCTGCCCTGGGGGTCAGGGCACCCAGAGCAGACACAGAAATATTCCCAGTGCCCTGGGTTTCCACAAAATCCTCTATATTACTATTTTGAATGCAGCAAAATGTCTAGTGCTGCTTCTACAATGTAGCTAAAATGGATAAATGTTACTTTCACCCCTTCTCACAGGTATGGGAGGCCAGACCCTCTGCTGCAGAGGGAGTGTGACATCCGTGTCACCCTGAGGATGGCCTCTGTCCAGTACGTGCACACCCAGCGCTTCCAGGCCGAGGTGGTTTCCTTCATCCAGCATTTCACTCAGCTCCAAGATGTCTTGGGCAGGCAGAGAGCAGCAATTGAAGGACAAACAGTATGTCTGGGCCTTTTTTTCTATTCTTTCCCAGCCTCTTTTGTTAATCAAGGGTTAATGATCCTGAGTTCAGTATTAATCAGTGGACAATAATCACCTGCTTCCTGCAATATATAAAATGTATTTTTGCTCTTTCCAGGTGAGAGATAAAGCCCAGAGAGCTTCCAGAGTTCTTCTTGATATTGAGGCTGGGGCTCCTGTTCTGCTTATACCTGAGAGCTCCAAGTCCAACAGCCTGATTGTAGCTAATCTGGGGAAGCTGAAAGTGAAGAACAGATTCCTGTTTGCAGGAATGCCAGGGACCTTTTCATTAAAGAACAAGGTAGGAGCATTGCTTCTTCATTTAGCAGCTTGCAGTTTTGCTAGTTCTTGTGTTTTATTTCTAAATCAAAAAATTTTAATGATTCTTAAGTTTTATTTTATATATTGACTTTATAGTTCTGCTAATGTGAGTCTATGCTAGTGTGCTGACAAATATTGTAGATTTTCATGTTGTGCTGCCCTTCCTGTCTTGAGCTCACTGCCTGAGGCTCTGGGGCAGAGGAGAGACTGAACTGAGTGTCTGGAGAGAGCAGAGGGAATAAAGGAGGCTGAGCTCACTCCAGCTGCTCTGGTGAGGATCAGGACCCACCCAGGTGCACACCTGGCTGTGGGACCAGGATGGGCTCTCAGCTCACCCTTTTTGGTTACTCCACCTGTTCACCATCAAAATTCCTACAGTGTGAACAGCAAAAAACAGGAATCTCTGTTGGCTGAGACTTGCTCTGACACACTGGAGAATAAAATTGGGGTTGATTTTCTGCTCTCAGTGAAAACTGAGTGTGTGTAGTTGCTTTGATGGGGTGAAACCATGGGAAAGGTTTCCAGGATGCAGCCACAAAATTTGGGAGAAGGAAGATCCATCTTGGATGGCTTTTTATATCGAACCCATTCAGCAAAACAAGGGGGTGTCTGGGAACCTAACAGAATCCCTTCTAATTCCATTTTGAAGGGATTAGAAGTTAGATGGACTAAATTGGATTTGTGGTGTGTGTGTTGCCTTCATCTGGTTGGTATCTGCTGTAAGGAAATAGTGACTGTGATGTTATTTTCTGTACTGTAGGGTGTTGATACAAATACAGGTTTGTAAGCAGTAAACACCTACATTAACATTATAAGTTAAAATAATTGTGCACAATAATTTTATTTCAGCCTAAAAATACTGTATTATGTTGCACTGTAGAAATGTAGGTGTTTGAAATGGACTTAGGTGGGGTTTGGCTTTTTTTTGTTGGTTTTGTTTTCATTTTTCCTCTGTCCTATGTTTATTTTTGAGGATCGGATTTTACAAGGCAATGCATACAAGGATCCTGTTTTATTTGAGGTATTTCCCATCCTTATGGCAGTGTTCAGGTGCTCCTCATTCATTCTATAAAAAAGAAAGTATTCTTCTGGAATTCAGCACTTAAAAAAGCTACTTCATTTATTAAAAACGATGTGTCTGTTCTAAAGGTTTTGCTGAATTCTATAAGAATTGGATGTAAACTTTTTGTGGTGTGCTCTTTATGCATGTCTGAGGAGCTGCTAATTTGGATTTAATTGCATAAATTCATAGATTTATAGATGATGTGATGATTTTCCTTTGCATGTCTTTTTCAGTCTTTTCTTTACAGTATGAAGTTAAATGTTCCTGTCCTCAAACTTTTTTCTTAAAATCCTTGGTTGTGTTTACAATTAATTTTTCCAATTTTTTCTAATATTTAAAAAACATGTAAAGCAATAAAATATTAACAATTAAAACCAGAAAGGGAAGTTTATGATAGGGATTGATGTGACATCAGAAGGTGGATCCAGAAGGAAGATGGGAAATGATGGTAACACTAAGTGATAGTAACCACTGAAGATAATTGCTACCTGTATGTAGAACATGATGTTAATTAAGTGAAATGATTGACAGATTAATTCCAAAAGTACCTTTGGGCTATAAAGGTGGTGTGCAAACCTCTCCCACCAGGCAGATCCCACAGTGGTTGGGGCCATTCCATCACAGAAGGTTTTCAGGTTGCTCAAGCAGGATTTTTGAGAAAATAAATTTCTGATGTTGATCTGACTCTTGTGTGTAGTGAAATTTGCAGGTTTTTGGTGCAAGACAGCTCATGGATTTCCACTGGATATGTGGTGGTGGGGAGATGTCTAAAATGTTTTAAATGAATATAAATGAATTTTTCTTTCTTCACCTGTGAGGAATTTAACATTAAATGTAGGGATTTATCCAACCTTAAGCTGCAGGAGAATTTTGGGACACATTTGTGACAACTGAAGTATTTGAAGTGCATAAAATGTGCATGTGCAGAAGTGTTAGTTCATATATTGTACTAAAATATGAAGTTGCTGACATGATCTTGCACAAATAATGGTAAATGTTTTTTTCATCACCTGCAAAACAGCTTTAAATATTTAACAGTCTTCATTCTGCAGAAATGTTTAATACTGTCACAGTCTTACCCCTTCACTTTGGTATTAATTTAATTAATTTGAGAATATTTCAGTTTTGTGCAAAACCCTCTGCTTTTGAATTAGTTTCTCCTTGAAAAGATTCTACAGCTTTTTGAGGAAGGTTGCTGAAATAAACTTTTTTTAACAAAGAAAATGTTCTCATCTGCTGTTAAGGCTGCAGGAGAAAAGTTTGGGCATTTTTCTACAGCAGAGAATCCTGGCATTCCAGTCACATACTTTCTACAGCAGAAGATACTGGCATTCCAGTAATTTGTTACAGCTTGAACATTGATGCATTGGTTCCTTAGAATTCAAGTCAAAAATCTGATATTAATTACAAAATTTCTTTCATTAGCAGGATTCTGTTCAATTTTCCTCTCCTATGGGAACCCCAAAACACAGTGTGAAGAAAACAAGTGCTGATGAGTCCAGATCAGCAATAGAAGGATTGGTCATGAAAAAACCATCAGGAGCAAACATTTCCAGGCTGAAGAACGAGCCTGCAGTGAGCACAGTGAATAAGCAGCAGGGGCAGCCCCCAAAGCTGCCTGCTGTCCCAAACCCTGAGAGCCCAGGTGAGAGCTCTGGGAAACCCATGGAGCTGCTTCTGCTGTGAAATAGTGCAGTGACATTTTGCTTTCATCTTATGTGACACTGAAAAGATATGAAGCTCTGGGTCTGAAGGTTGTAGATTGGAGAATGAATTACTTCTGAGCTTTAAGGGTGATTTTTTGAAGCTTAAAGGATTAAGGGGTTGTGGTTCAGTTTCTGGAAGAACAGTCCTGCAGATTGGGTGTGTTTTGAGATGCATGTTGCACACATACAAGGAGTGTGCTTGGACTCCTAATTAGGAATTTAGATTGACCTGTGAATGAGCTTGGTATCTGCTAGTTACAGATATTGAACATGAATTTGAAAAAAAAAAAAAGTGGAACAAAATCAAAACTGAATTAAATTTCTTTTTAAAAGTAGGTTGCATTAGTTTTGCACAGATTCTGTTTTTCTTCCTTAATGTGTTACCTCCTGTGTGCTTGCAGAGGATCACATCTGCCTCTTAGACTGCATTGTAGTTGATCTGCAGGACATGGACATCTTTGCTGCTGAAAGATACCAGAGAGAATACTCCAAGGCTGTGGAAGATAGCAGTGCAGATTTGAGCTTTCCATCCTACTTGGTGAGGCAGACAGGAGGGAGCCTGCTGACAGAACCCTTCAGACTGAAGTTAAAAGTAGAGAGGAATTTAGACAAGTGAGTTTAAACAGAGTCACTTACGCTGTCACCTAGAGTGGTGGTTTTATCCTAAAGGTCTTGCCTGCTGCTGGAGCTCCTTGAAGCTCTGAGGTTTTCTCTTTTTGTTGCAGAGAGCTGAGTCATGCAGTTGCAGACATTTCAATCCATGGCAACCTGTCCTCAGTGCACTGCTCCCTGGATCTGAACAAGTACAAACTGATCCGGGGGCTGCTGGAGAACAACCTGGGCGAGCCCATCGAGGAGTTCATGCGCCCCTACGACCTGCAGGATCCAAGAATTCTTGTAAGCATCTCTGTGCACCTGAAATCCTCTGGAAATGTCTGGGGGTGTGTCTTGGTTTGGAAAGCCAGGTGTCTGCTAAGGAAGGCAGGAGCCTCTCCTGAAATGGAAAATGTAAACCCCCTCTGAATTGCTATGAATTTTAAATTAAGGGGCTCTCAGGCAGAGATATGGGAGCAGGAATAACAGTTCTTTAATAGGGAGGAAAATAAAAGGATAAAATAAACAATGCAGTAAACTAAACCAACACTGCCAGAGTCAGAACCCAACCTGACACCCTGTGGGTCAGGCTGTTGGCAGCAGTCCCATTGGAATTGTGGCTCAGCCCTCCTGCAGTGTCAGGGCTGGTTCTGCTGGAGCAGGATCCTGGAGAAAGGTGCAGTCTCTGCCTCTGAAGGTCCAGGGGCAGAGGCAGCTGCTGCTCCTCTGGGGAATCCAGTGCAGAAGCTGTGCTGGTGTTCCAGAATCTCCAGATTCTATCCAGGTAGGAATGCTTGGCTCCTCCCTGTGGGCTCACATCTCCCAATGGGATGCTGCAGTTCTTATCAGCCATGCAGTGACATTCAATAGCTGTTATCAGCAGATGTCCCCTCCTGAGGAAGGAGTGATTGTGAGCACTCAGAGAGAGATAAGGAAAACTGCCCACTGAGCAGGAGACAACTGCCATCCAGGTGGTAATAGAATACATCTTGCCTTGCAATCTGCAGCAGGGTGGTTGCTGATTTTGCTGATGGCAGCAATATTTTAAGGACAAAGAAGCTCTGGACCAGTACAGTGAAAATGGGTTAATGGTCATTTTTCAAGCTAAAGGCCACAGTGTTGTGAAATGTAACATTTCCCCAGCACTGGTTAATGAAACCATTTGGAGAAGAAGGACATCACACAAAAGCTATTTGAATTTTCTGAAATACAGGTTTATTCAGAGATCAAATTTACACAGATGCTCTAATAAACAATGTTGGTGTTTTCCACTTTCAGACAGTTTTGAGTGGGGAAGTGTACACTTCCATGTCATTCCTCATTGACATGGTTAATGTGAGCCTGGAGCTGATGGATCCAAAGGGGAAAGATGGAAGCAGCTCTTTAGCCAGGTATGAATGTTCTTCTCTTACTGAATACCTCGTCCTAAATACTGTGCCCATGTGAAAGATACAGGAGAAGAATTAAAATAATATGTGGAATTACAATTTAGTAATGCAATGAAATGGAATTTCTTAATTAGAGTCCAAACTGAGAGTTTTAGCTGTTCTGAAAGATAAAAGGGAATGACACTGTTCAAAAGATAAAGTCTGTCTTTCCACTTGTCCTTGAAATAACAGTCCAGCAATGAGTACTTGCCCAAAAGAAACAGTATTTTAATTAAAGCAAAACAAGGGAAGGTTAAAAAAAGCAGAATTTTGCTATGTTGGCATGTTGGATTTTTTTTTTAATCCAGAAGGCTTTTTATCAGTGGAAAATATTATTACATTTAGTACAGATCTATTTTCTATCTCTATGACATGATTGTAGTTGTTTTAGAAAAAACCTAATGAAAGATTTCAGCAGTGTGCCATACTTGTAAAATAAGTGACTCCAAGGAACAAACAAACTTGAAGTCTTTTTGGTGTGATGTTTTTCTTTTTATTCTCCCAGGTTTGATTTTAAGAAATCCAAGTTGCTTTTTGAAAGCTCTTCAGATGGAACCAAGTCTGTAAATCTGGTCTCTCATTCCATGATGGCCTTTGACACTCGTTATGCTGGACAGAAATATGCCACAGGCCCCCCAAATGTCTTCAATTGCATCTTCCAGTCATCCAAGAACACCAGCAGCCCAGGAGCAATCCAGATTGAATTGCATTTCAGGTTGGTAATTCTGGGATTTTTTTGTTTTTAATGATGACATCATCAGTATTGTCCTGATTTTAATACATCTATTATTATTGTAGATAAACTTGGGGGCATTGTATTTCAATCTATTTCTATTTCAATTCACTGTATTTTGGGGTGATCAATGGTACTTGATAGATTGAAATCTTCAGTTATTAATTCTCTGGAAATTGTTGGATTTTTTTTTCCCTTTTTCAGTTATTGCAATAAAATTTAGGTTTGAATGTATAATGGATCAGATGAAGGTTTGACCTATTAAAATCAGTAGTGCTTAATGCTTGATAAGTCTGGCCTATCACTTGTGTGTGTGCATAAAACCAGTTTGTGGAATTTTAATATGAGAGGCACAAAAGCTGTTTCCCAGCAGGTGTCACACGTGGTTCTCTGAGAGCATCAGATACAGACAGAAACAGCCCCTCTTGCAAAAGCAATCTGTGTTCTTTTCTACATTCTGTCCTGTTCTTTCTTACCCTGTTTGTTTTTTCTTATCTGTTTTGATCTAATTTAGTATTGAAATTGGGAATATAAAGTATAATGCCAGTATTTTTCCTGTATCAGTATGGGGGTTTTTTGAGGAATGCTGACTATCAAAAAAGAGGGTGAGGTGAGATGTCTGGAGATGCTGCTTTCACTTCTGATCTGATTTGCTGACCAAGCTCAGCTTTCTCACTCTCTCAGCGTGATGCCTTCTGGAACAGTTGCAAGAGTAATGTAGAAAAAAAATTGAGGATTATATTAGTCCAGTAGAAAATTTTAGAGACAATTTTTCATAAAAACCAGCTAAAGAATCTTGGCAACTGAGAGAATTTTTTTATGATTTAGATGCTGCATTACAGTTTTAAGTACCTAAAAAATATGTTCAGAAAGAAGCCAACACTTCAATTTGACTAAAACTAAAATGGGATTTACTAAAAAATACACCCTAAAAAAACCCCAGATGGTTTTCACAGAACTGTTGAGTCAGTGGGCAGCTTAGACACAGTCAGTGAGCTTGCACAGTACAGCCTAATCTGCTCTAGGAGTGAGAGTTTCAGGAATCTTCTTCCCAACTGTTGTGATTTTCAGTTTCAGCTGCAGCAGCATGTGGGCTGGTTTCAGTGGTGAGAGCATCCTTGGCAGGAGATGCAAGGGCTGGCAGAGCTCAGTGCTGGTGCTGAGCCTGGTGCCTCTGGAAATATCCTGGAGAGCCAGGCAGGGTTATCGGCTTTGCTGGTGGAAGCTCCCCACTAAGGCTTCACAGTTCTTTGGAGATTTTATAGCTCACAGTGTGCTGGATTGAAAATTGTTTCATGCTATTTAAGCACTTAGATGATTTTCCAGTTAGCATGATCAAATGGAAGAGGTATTCCAGATCACAAAGCCAAACACTTTATCCCTGCTGGCCAGACCTTCACAATGGGGTGCTGGAAGCTCAGGCAGAATATAAATATATATATAAATATATATATATTTATATTCTATATATATTTATATATTATATAATTATATATAAATATAAATATAAATATAAAATTTTTTCTGAGTGACAAAACAGCTTCCTGTGCTGCAAAATGGTGGCAGGGTAGGAAAGGAAATTCATATTCTACCTCTTATCTCAGAGCCAGGTCTGAGTTTCACACACAGAATGTTAGACAGAAAATGATAATAAAAACAAAAGCCATAAAACGATAATAAAAACATAAGACAAAATGATAATAAAACAAAGATATAAATGATAATAAAAAAAGGTTTTAAAATTTGAGATTTTGAAAATTAATCTTGATAATATAAGTGTGTTAAAGGAGCTTTTATAAATTTCCTGTCATGTAGTTTTTCAGTTCATCTCTTGTATCATTATGGCTTGGAATTTGTGCAGTTAAGACCCATTGGGGTTCTGTGGGTGTAGCAAATTCTTGAATTTCAGTCTGCTTAAAAAAAAAAAAATATATATATATATATATAAAATGTATGTGTATATATATATAGATAGATATATATAAAATATATATAGGAGTTCAAACTCATATATATATAGGAGTTTAAATATAAATGTATAGCTATACAAAAATATATAAATTTATATATATATAAATGTGTATATATGAAAATATATGAACGTATATATATAAAATGTGTATATATATAAAAATAAGTGTGTATATATATATATATATAAATAAATATATATATATAAATGTATGTATGTATTTTAAAGGCCAGACACTGTAAACCAAGTCCATGCCTATAAAATGCCACATGAGTCTTACTAGATACTGATAGTTGTCAGCACGATTTTAAATATTTACAGGTTTTAAAGTTCACCTGTGTGATTGTCTCTTCTTCAAAGGTCTACTAAGGATTCCTCCAGTTTCACAGTGGTTCTGAACAACCTTCGTGTGTTCCTGATATTTGACTGGCTGTTACTGGTCCATGACTTTCTGTGCACTCCTGGGGACACCAGAAAGAGGGAGAATCCCCATTGCCGGCAGCGATCGTGCATCAGTGACACCAGTGTGCTCCCCAAAGCTGTCAAAAGGGGAGTGGTCACCAAACGTTCCTCACTCCCTGTGACAGCAGAAAAGCAGCTGGAAGTCAAGGTTAATGTCACAGGTAAATGTGCTCTTCACTGATGGTTTTGTTTTTCTCATTAAGGAAGTTTGTTGTTCTCATTGAGGAGTTTTTCTCATTAAAAGCTGTGTGCTGGTGTAAAGACAGCTCCATCCAAAGAAATCAAGAAACTTGCTACAAATACCCAAAATACCTTAATGATATTGCCAACTGCCCTGTTAGTTATTTGTCATTTTTTTTGTTAAGGAACTGAATTTGTGGTTGTGGAAGACATGTCCTGCTTTGATACCAATGCAATTATTCTAAAAGGAACAACTGTTCTCACTTACAAGCCCAAGCTGATAGATCGTCCTTTCTCTGGCAGTTTGTTTGGCATTGAGGTAAGAAAAATAAATTTTCTACTTTATAACTTCTAAAATTAGAGGAGTTTGTGAAGATACTTTACTATAAACATATATACAAAAGAAACAGTCCTCAGATGCTTTCTGAAGTTTGTTGGTTTCTCATCAAATGCTCTCGTTTTACAGCAGTTTTGAGAATAGTTTTATATTTATATTATATAAATATATTTATGTTTATATTTTCTGTTACAACATAAGACTTGACTGTAGCCTCAAAATATTACTAGTTCTTGCCAGGCTTGTTATCTTAGTTCATAATTTTTTAAAAATAATTTGCAATTTTTAGGTGTTTTCATGCCGGTTAGGAAATGAGCAAGAGACTGCACTGTCAATTATTGATCCAGTACAGATTCATATGGAACTTATTGGGAATTCTTCCTATCCAATTGGTTCAGGACTGCTGGATGCTTTCAATAGTGAAGATTTTCCTCCTATTCTAGAGGTAATATTAAAGCCTGAATTAAACTGTGCAGTAGAGAATGCTAGCAGAGACATTTTTATGCCCAAGAAGATTTTCAAATGCATAAGAAGAGAGTAAGGTAACTTTTTTCCTGAGATGTAAAAGAAAGAAGCATGTAGAAAATGCTCTTAGTGATAATGAAAAAGTGATTTATGGGACATGTTACAGAGAGTAATAGTGGGGGAAAGAAATGGGCTGATTATGTAGGCTGATGATGTTAGATAGTTACTAACAGCTGAAAGGAAATAATATTTTTCTATATTTTCTATTTCTAATTGTTAGGACATATTAAAGGGGAATTATATTTAAAGATTTCTACCATTGTATCAAAGTAAAACTTCTTTTCCCTGAGATACAATGCTTTGAGTTGTTGGTAAATAATAACAAGTTTGATAAATTTATTATTGGATCTTTAAAACAGCATGGTGATCAGATTGTAACACTAAATTTTGTCTTCCTTTGAGAAAAGCTTTATTAATACCAGAAGTATTTAAGAAAAATGTGTAGAAAAAGGCAAGTGAATCTTATATTCTAATTTTTTGTTTAGATTCAGTTGCAAGCCCTGGATATCAGGCTGTCCTACAATGATGTTCAGCTCTTCCTGGCCATTGCAAAGTCAATTCCCCAGCAGACAAGTGCAGCCCTGCCTGACTCAGCTGCCTCAGCTGCTGATTCCTCCAGCTCGGCCCTGGGCCATGAGAACTCCCTGGCTCATGAAACCAGAGATGGCTCCAAACGTGTGCTGGATCCTGTTCTTGGTATGTTCTTCCCTGCTGGAGTGAAACCATTCCTTATATCTAAGGGGGTTTTCTACAAGGTGAAGCTAATCTATGTGCTGAACACAAAAGATGTTGGTATCTTATGGGGTAAGACCACCTAATAATGGCATTGTCCTGATGGTGCTGTAAAAAATCATAAAAGCAGGGCTGAATCATGCTTTTGTTATAGTTGCAATCTTAAATAAACAAACCCCCATTTTTTAAATAAACAATCCCCCATTTATGAAATAAACAATCCCCCATTTTTCATGCAGATATAGCTTGATTTTAAAATGAAATAAGTAGCTAACTGTGAAGGGTTTGTGCCTGTAACTGTTCATTCCAGAGGCCCAGCTGGCTCGCCTGCAGGAGCTGGGGTTCAGCATGGAAGATTGTCGGAAAGCTCTTCTCATCTGCCAAGGTAACATCAGATGTTCTCAGCAGGGGTTTGCACATTGTTCATATTGCCTTAATTGCAATTAAGTAAAGCCTTTAGACTGTCAGGTGGTCGTGCACAGGCACTGTTCCCTTCTTTAGAGCATCTCTGGCTCTGTGCTGCTCTGTGGTCTTAAACATTTTTCTTCCTGTTCTGCTCCTGTGTAAACTCCACCTCCCAAGGATTCTTTCTGCCCTTTGGGATGTCATGTGTGGGTGCTTGAGTGTATTTTTGTTTGGGAGTTTTAGTTGTGTTCAGGCTGGTAATTTTTATGGTGCACCAATTTCTTGCTCTTCCACATTTTTTCCTCTTGAGAGCATGTGTTTTCATCTCTCCCTTTTAAAATTTTCTAAAATATTTCTCTAGTTCTACATGCAGTACCTGAAAAGAAAACAAAGCTTTACCACAAGTGATTATTTTTTTTTAAAGAATCTCCCTTTTAAAGTCATATTTCCCTTTTAAAATCATATTTCTCTAGTTCTACATGGAGTACCTGAAAAGAAAACAAAGCTTTACCACAAGTGATTCTTTTTTCCTTTAGCACTGTCGTGCTTCCCACCTTAAATATAGGCATGCATAATCTTATTTAGATTTTTATTACTTTTTGTTATTAGATTTTTATTACATTTGTGAACTACAAAATTTCTCACTCTTAGGATATACCAATGTCTTTATAATCTTCTCATATTTGTGTTACAAAATAAGCATATTGAATTACTGCTGAGAATATTTTCTTAAGAGAAAGGGAGTTAGTTTTCTTCTCTATGATTTTTACTAAGTAGATGTCTGAGAAAGCAGGTGATGATTGATTGGTTGTTTGCTTCTATCTAAGGTGACTTGAAGAAAGCAGCCAGTTGGTTGTTTAAGAATGCTGAACCTCTGAAATCAGTTTCCCAGACTTCTGCTCGAGATAGCCAGGGGATTTTGCCTTTCCAGTTCATCTCTGGAGTGGAAATAAAGGCAGAAAGTGTTTGCATCTGCTTCATAGATGACTGCATGGACTGTGACGTTCCCCTGGCTGAATTAACCTTTTCATGTGAGTGTCTGGTTCTGCCTTGGCAGGAAATGATTCAGTTCTGGGTGGGTTCAGCATCGTGCTCTTGTTTGTCAGGGCCTGTCAAATTTTAACTGACAGTGTCTTGGTGGTGGTTGTGTGGGATATTGGGGGTTCCTTTTTCTTTATTTCTGTTTGGTTTAAGTTTTGGTTAAGAAGATTACAGTCTCTGTAGGGTTAAGATTCTGTTTTCCCCTTTTTACATCGTTTAAGAAATGAAATCTGTCCTGAGCAGAATCCTAGGGAGGCTCTGTTTTGTGAGGTGTGGCTGTCTGCAAATGTTATTGGAAGAGTATTATAAAAAGCTTTTTTGTACCATTTCAGTTTAAAAGACAAAACAAAACCTTTCATTGCTTACTGGACACTTCACAAAATCAGGAAGCTTGATTGTTTTGCATTAGTTTAAATTTAATTTCTTTTTTTTTTCCTCACAGGTTTGAATTTTCTCCAGCATTTGAGAACCAGCCCTGAAGGTTATGCTCATTTTACCCTCTCTGGCGATTATTACAACCGTGAGCTTTCAGGTGAAATACCTTGGGGGTTGTTTTCTTATTTAGGTTTAGGAAACAGCCTTTCCTACCACAGGAGCATGAAGTTTACCCACTGTGAAATACCTCTAAGGGAATAGGGAAGGTTGACTTTTGGGACTGTGTGTGTGAGGCAGTGAGATCCTAGACCAGGGATCCTGAGGTGAGATCACTGGAGGGATGTGGAAAGTGGAGATTTGACTGATCTGAAATTGGCACTCAGGTTTTCAAGTGGAATTGCATAAAATGGTTATCCAGCAAAATAACAGTTTTATAACAAGCTCTCTCTGCATTCTCTTCTCTCTTCTCTTTAATTGTTTGGTGGATTCAGTTTATTACATATTTCAGGAAGGAGAATCATGTGCAGACTGAAGACAAAGGATTAACATTAGAAGACCATCACAATTTATATTTTAGATACAAAAGAGCAAGTTAGGCCTCAATACAGGCCAGACACTAACAAAAGAAGTAACCTAATTGTGTGGGGTTTTTTTTAACTTAGAAAATAAATTTTCTGTTACATCACTGGTGACAAGCACTCAGGAATTATCTGTCAATAACATGGGATGGGGTTTTTTTGGTTTTGTTTTAAAAAAAACACTTTGTTTTTAAAAATATGTAGAGTTATCACTATAGGACATGAAACAACACGAGCACACACACTGCTGCTCTCAAGGTGAAGAAAAAGGAAGTTTATTTTCTGATTCCTGCATTTATAGTTTTCCAAAAGAATCAGTGGATTGGAGGGTGGCAGTCCCACCTCTCCAATGACACTGGACAAACCAACAGTCCATCAAATTTCTCCCCTCCATAAAAGAATACAAAACTATAAGTTATTTACATAAAGAATATGAGAAAGTTCATTACAAGAATGTAAACATCAGAAGGCTTAGAAAATCTTAAAAAATCAGGGCGACATAGGGTGTTTATTTTAATAACTTCTAGACTTTTATCTTTTGAGATACTGAATAATCACCAACTTAATGTATAATTGTGTGAAAATCATTGTCAAAGCTATTTGAGAGCTTAATTCCAGCTAGCTTAAATATAGAGCAGTAATTGCCTTCTAGTGCTTTAATTTGGAACTAAGATATTTCTATGAGTATACATGGACTAAATGGAGGGGCTGGACCAAATTTGTATTAGATAATAAATCCATAAGCTTGCAACTTCATCTTGAAGATTAAAAGTAAGGGACAGATTAAAAGTAAAGGACCTAATGATGAAAGTTTCTTTATTAAATATATAAAGAGCATTCCAGAGTGGCCTCCAGAGATGCTGGTTTGTGTTTGTGTCAGGGTGGGAGCCGTTTATTGAGCCCTGGCCGTGCTCAGTGTCCTGGCAGCAAGAGGCCTCGAGCCGCCTGCAGCCCTCGCGCCTGAAGCTGGAGGTGAAGGCCAAGCCACGCCTGGACATCAACATCACCTCTGTGCTCATAGGTATGTGGGAATGTTCCCTGGGAGCAGCACTCTGCTTTTCACTGCTTTTCAGCATTTTCACTGCTCAAAATGACTGACATCGCTAATTATTGAAGTGCTGCTGGCATCCCATGGAGGAAGTGGGATTGGCCCACGTCCCTCCATGCTTTGCAGGGTTCTGTACCAGGTGTGTGTTTAGGCAGCCTCTGTTCTGTCAGGTGTTGTGAAAATGTTAAGACATGAGCTGCATGTGTTAGAGGTTAGTAGGAATTCTTTCTCTGGTCATATGAATTCTATCAAGTTTGTATGGGATTTGAAATTTATTTTTAATCAGAAACAGGCTTTCATCTAAAGCTTTTGTAGAACTTCACAATATTTTGATAAGCTCATTTTTCAGGACATTGACAGGTGTAGTGGAGAGCTACTCATTTCAGTTCTTCAGCACCTGAGCTGTCAATGATCCACCTTTGGAAATCAAAATATTTTGTTCATCAGTAACTCCAATTTCATGTGAGCTTCTGCACTGTGGAGCTCCACTTGTGGGCCTTTCCCTGGAACATTGTTGCTCATTCAGAATTATTTGGTGGGCACAATAAAAGAAATGCCAGCAGCTGAGCTTGTGGATGTGAGAGAAAAGCCTTTGTTGGTCTTTCTTTCCCAAGGAGGGGTTGGCAGAAAGAGAAGAAGCCAAGATGGCAGCAGGAGAAGCAAATCATTGATTCCTGAGATGGTGCTTTTTAAAAGCAGTGATAATTAGTGGTGAGGCTGGTTTGTGATTAATTCTGTGCCAGAGGACTCAATTGGTGTCTGGATATTTATGCAGAAATGTGTATGTGCCTCTCAAAATGAAGCAAACCCCAAAACCCCCAGGAAGTTAACAGTTTCTAACATGAAAATATTTAAGGTTAATTGCCTCAGCAGGGCTGGCTCTTAGATTGCCATAGCAGTATCTTAAGAACATGAAATTCCGCTGACAGTTTTTTTAAAAAATAAAATCTTAGGGATATGTATTTTTTTAAGACACTGCTGTGATTTTATGAGCTGTTGTTTGTCTTTAACTTATGTGACTCAGAGAAAAAGCAGCAAAATGAAACTTCTGCTGTTAAAGTGGAGTAACTTGAGTGTGATGAATTTAACACACTTTTCAATGACTTTGTTTCACTGCCACCTTGAAGACATTGGCTGTCTGTGCTTACATTCCTCCAGAGCAATACAAATGCACCAAGCAGTCGTGGATGGAAGATTACTGTAAACAGGACAAAGAAGTGAATGTAATCAGCTCAGAAGACTGGATGGGTTCTTCAGTGGATCCCCCATGTTTTGGGCAGAGTATGTTGGTCATTAATCACACTTTATTTGAAACAGACCTGACACACAGGGTCATCTGTCTAATGTATTACAAACATAAGAGTTTTGACTTCACAGAATACAGTGATTTGTTAGATATGTTTGGCAAAGAAAAAAAAGACAAAAAAGCTGTTTTCTGTTCAGTTATGTTGAATTATTTTAAAACAAAAAGCTTTCTGGGTGCTTAGCTTTGAGTAAGAGCTTTGCACTGCTAACTCTGCTTCCTTTCTGTCTGCCACTCTCAGTTAATGAGAAGAATTAAGTCAGAGTGTTGATTTTTGGCTGTGTGCAGTTCAGAGAGGATCTTTCTCTTTCTGCACCCCAAAGACCTAAATAAATGAATTTCTGGAAAAAAATTACTGTATTCTTTGTGAAATAATCACCCAAGCTCTTTCCAGCTTATTTCCTCCCCAAGTTCCTCCTGGAAGGAACTTTGTCAATCAAATCCCAGCTTAATGTAAGCAAACAAGTAGAGACTAACAATTGCATGATGTGTATCTTCCTTTATGCATGCAGGGGAAGACTGACCTGTGCTTGTGTGATTTTCTTACTGCTGACTTTGTCTTTCCTGTCTGCCAGGCCTTCCTCTTGTCTACCTTAGAACTAGGAGTACAGCCAGTCTGACTAACCTAGAGCACCAGATCTATGCTAGAGGTACTGTACAGCACACAGACAACTAAAGCTGCTTTTCTGCTCTGGAAGGCTCTTGCACAATAAATTTTGTGCTGTATGTGGGACTTGCTGCTAGATTGGCCTCTCTATTTAAAAATAATCAAACCCAAAAAAACCCTCAAGCCAAATAATACAACAGCTATTTTTGGTTTAGTCTGCTGAATTCAGTATTTCATCCTGTCATTCTGTGGGTTCTTCAGGAAAGAATGGAGAAATCAACCCAAAGAAGGAAAACTGTCTTTGTGAGGAAGATTATGTGAATTGTTGACTATTCGGTGTCCCTCTTCTAGATTTTTTTACAATTAAAAATTTTTACAATTCAATTTTTTTACAATTAAACATTGTGTAATAATATCACAATATTTAATTTATATTTGAAAAATATCCACCATTATGTTCAATATACATATTTATGCTTAATTTAGCATATTTATGTACTTAAAACTTACTGAAAACTGTAACTTTGAGATGCTTCAGAAGCACAGGATGTTTTCAGTAAGCTTTAGAAGGTAAAGCATTCCTAATAAATAATGTGTTAATTTGTTTGGGTTCTATTTGACAGGACAGGTTTTGGGGCAAAACCATGCAGGATAAAGTAAGGTATTATTTTTTTGACATTATGGAAGGCAAAGAGCATGCTTCATAAATACATAGCCCTATGGAAAAGTTAATGGATGGGAGGACAGAATTTTCTAGAAATCTACATCTGTTTCCTGTTCCAAGTGCCATTACAAATATTTTCTCTGAGCTTAAAGGAAAAAAAAAAGGAAAATTTTCGATTGATTTTTAATGAAATATTTTCTGGGATTTTTTTTCCCCCAAAAATCAAACAAGCAGCAAAACATCTAATATTCATTGTTTGGCTTTTAGTAGGGGTTGCAGCTAAATTACTAAACCAATGATTAAAAAATCCTTCTGGTAATGAGAGTCTTCTTTTTTTAGGCAGTAGTCTCAAAATGCAGCTTTTACATTTCTTTTGAAAACCAGGCCATAGTCCCAGAAATCCTTTTTTTGAAGTCTCCAAAGATAAGCTGGCAATAGATTAAACACCAGAGTAAAAGTTCATTTGGCTTCTGGTCTGATTTGTAGAACCTGAGATAGCCAAAACATTATATAAACTGAAACTCAACACTAAAAACATGTATTTGCTTTTGGCAGAAAAATCAGAGTTTTAATTTTCAAGGATTTCATCTTCTTGCTGTTTAATTGGAAATAACTTTCTCTGTAAGCTTCAGATCAGATTTAAATCTCCATGGGCAGTGTGAGGTACACAGGGATTTGTTGGTCTGACAGAAATCATCTGTCATGATCTGTAACTCCTTCAGAAACTTTGCTGCCCTCCCCACATCTCCCCTGCTTGCCTCTGCAAACCTTTTGGAATGACTTCAGATCAGGCCTGGGGAAGAGATTTCTGTCTTGCCTTTTGTTTCAGCAGCTGATTTATTGTGTGTGCCTTCTTTCCACTTCCCTCATGCTAAACGTGTTGTGTATTGAGGTAGCAGCCATTTATCTTCCTTTTTAAGTAAATTACTGGGCTTTGACAGGGGTTTTGCTGTGTCCAAACTCAGTAAGTATTTTCACAGATTTCATGCACTGCAGTGTGGAAAATGAGAGTAGCACTTGTGTGCCTGTTAGAAATTGGTGCTTAGAAAAAGTTGAACATAGGAGAAGTATCTTCTTCTGGTGTTTTGCTGTCCCAGCAGTTTAACAAAACCAGATTGCCTTTGTTTGCTCTCAAATTATTTTCCACATTTCAGTAGTATCCTCTATTTTAAAGGATCCCTTCAATATCCTTCAGTATTCTTTATTTTAAAGCCTATTTCAGTAGCTTTAAAAATAGGAATTTTTTTTTGTTCAGGCTTTGAGAATAAAAGTCCCTTTAAAGGGAATACTGGCTAACCCTGTATTTGTCACATTAAATACAGCATAAATCCTAATTACAAGTGAATGTGTGTTTAGTATTTCATGAGCATTTGGATGTACATAAAAGGTTTCTGATTATGCTTGGGTTTTTAGTTAGACTGGTTTTTAGTTAGATTTTCTGCATGTTAGGTGTAACTGAAGGCATAGTATTTTATGAGGCTTGATATAAAGAAACAGAATGTGTAGATTAAGCTCAGTTCAAGGGGGATTGGTGTAGGGGAAGAATGTCTGTTAGTTTTGTGCCATTTCTGTAGCAGTTACTAATTATCAGTAAAAGCTTTGCAGATAATCTGATGTTCTGTTTATTTGTAGTCAGTGCAGGCTGTGGTTCTCCAGCCCCTGCATCTCATCCCACATAAAGATGTGATGAACGTTTTCCATGGACACTCAGACAGTGTGTGTTGTGTTTTGTAGCTGAAATGAAGACCCCGAAGCGCAGGCAGCCGTTTGTGCCCTTTGCTCTGAGGAATCACACCGGCTGCACTCTCTGGTTTGCCACCCTCACCACAACCCCAACCAGGTAAGGAGCTCTTTGGGGGTCCCTTCAAACACATCTGTCTGGCTCCTCTTCCATGGCAGCCAGTCTCTGCTGTTGTCAGTGCTTTTCTTTGGCAGACACATGTAGGCAACTCCCAGTTTTACTCAGTTAAGAGCCTCTTCTTTGACACAGAGAGAGTTTTATTATTAAACAAAAAAGATGGTTTTTTTTCAAGAGACCTAGCAGAATGTGGAAACCAATCAAGCACATTCATGGTGTGAATATGTTCACATGTGTTCATGGTGTGAATGAGGACTGAGGCAGACTTAAAAAGCACTTGCAGCTTGAAGTACTTATTGTATTTGTGGGGCCTGCCCTGACAAAGGCAGGAATGATGAATCTGACTCTGTGTTCTCAGAAGGGTAATTTATTACTTCATAATACTATATTATATTGAAGAATACTATGCTAAAGAATACAGAATGGATACTTACAGAATGCTAAAAAGATAATAACGAAAATTCGTGACTTTCCAGAGTCCCCACACAGCTTGGCCCCTGTTGGCCAAAGAGTCAAAACAACTCACACCAGAATGCAATGAAACAATCTCCAAACACAATCCACATAAGCAAAACAGAGGAGAAGCAAATAAGAATTGTTTTCCTTTTCTCTGAGGCTTCTCAGCAGAAACAATCCTGGGTGAAGGGATTATTTCAGAGAATGTGAATTCCACCAGAGGTCATTCTGTGAAATGCTGTGATTCTCTCCCCAGGGCTGCGCTGTCTCATAGTGGGAGTCCAGGTGTTGTTCCTGAGGAGAACGGGACGCTGCTGGGTGATGCCCATAATGTCAGTGAATGGCAGGAGGTTATCACTGGGGAAGAGGTTCCGTTTGAGTTTGAAACCAGAGGGAAACTCAGACACAGGTGAAGGGACCAGGCCATGAGATGTTCTGACACTCTCCTGTATGGAACTCACAGGTTCACAGTTGTGAGGGCACTGGCAGGTGTCACATTCAAAGTGGATTTCTGTGTAATTTACTGTTAATGTTTAGTTTCTATTTTTAATACTCTTGTATGGAGTGAAATTATAACTTCTCTGGTAAAGCAGCAAATATTGCTGTTGTGGCAGCTGTTCCTATATGTGAGTTGGATCATTATCATTATATCATTATATATTGGGGGCCTCAGTTACAAATCAGTGTCCTTTATTTTAAAGGACTATTGAGGCAGTGTTGGTTGTTACCAGAGATAAGAACTAGAGCTTGTTAACAAATATGTAGCATGCTTTTATTTTTTAATGTGTATGTTCCTTAGGAAAGAAACATAAACATAAAACCAAGTCCATTTTTCCATGAAATGGGAAAACTCTTGGGATTTTTTTAATGCTTCAGTAAGATTCTTTAAATAGAATCCAGAGGATGTTTGTGGTTTTGACTGTTTGGTATTTAGTCTGTATAATAATGCATAATAATAATAATTTAACATGATCTAACCTTGCAGGCACACACATGACCTAAGGATCCATCAGCTGCAAGTGAGAGTTAATGGCTGGGAAGAAGTGAGTCCAGTGTCTGTGGACAAAGTTGGAACATTTTTCCGATATGCTGCACCAGATAAGAATTCCTCCTCTTCTACTGTAAGTTCTGAGTGTTTTAAAAGAAAATGTAAATTAGGAATAGTGATGTCTGCAAGATTTTGATCTAAAATACTCTAAATTCTGATTTTGAGTGTTTTAAAAGAAAATGTAAATTAGGAATAACAATGTCTACAGGATTTTGACCTCAAAGCATCTGCTGGATGAGATTTTCGTCTTTCCAGTGATCCTGGACTGGGAGAGCTTGGAGAAGCTGGGTTTTAACTGGTACCCAGAGCACAGGCAGAGCTTGGAGAAGCTGGGTTTTAACTGGTACCCAGAGCACAGGCAGAGCTTGGAGAAGCTGGGTTTTTAACTGGTACCCAGAGCACAGGCAGAGCAGCCAGCAGTTAATGTGAGCTTGGCAGGCAGAGCTTCCAGGGACAGGATGAATGTATTAATGACAGGCCATGCACTCATGGAGACTGAGCTTTAAATCAGCCCAGCATTTCAGCAGCTACTTTCATTTCTTTTATTGCAGGAATGCTTTTCATGTATTTAATTTGCTTAGAATAAACAACACTGGCAATTTCCTGTAAGCCTAGAGATTGGTTTTTAAGTATGTGGCGCTGTAGACAAAATATACTTGTCATGAAGGGAAAATGCAGTTGTAATAATGAGCAGGCTGGCATCTGGGGGAGGCTCAGTGATAAAAATGGTTTTGTGGATTTCAAGACCATGTTTTGAGACTTGCCACTGGGAGTTGTTGAGCATTAGGCAAATAGGAGGTTGAGATCTTTTTGATATAAAGCAGAATTAAATTTGATTTAATATTGCTGACAAGAGCCAGTGATCTCTTACTTGAATTTTCGGATGTTTTTATATTGAAGCATAAAAAGGATCATCTCTCTGTAAGTTGAATATTGATGGAAAAGGATGCCAATTATGAGATTATGATAAATTAATGAGAACTCCTGTTCAGCAGCATCTCCTGTAGACTTTTTCTTTACAACCCTCCTTAAGCTTCAATTTTTTGCAAAGCAGTATTACAAACAGGCTTTGCTAATCCAGTTCTGATACGATTCCAAGTTGTACTGAAGATCAAAACACAAAGTGATGAAAGTTTATTCTTCTGTAGTAAAGCTCTGTGTTAAAGCTGAGAACAGTATCTTAAAAGTTGAACTACTTTAACCTTCTTGTTTTCTTGTTTACTTTCCTCTCAGCTTGGAAGCCCAATAAGTAGAACAAATATAATACATCCACAAGTCTACGTGAGTATATATTTTCATTTTTTTGAGAGCTACTTAAGTAAGAGTAGGGAAACTACAAGAGAACTGACTTCCCCATCCTTCTAGAACCTTTTCAATAGAAAGGAAAGAAAATTTAAGCAAACAAAATGCACTGTCAAATCAGAACAAATATTTATGATTTACTATTCCTCACCAGTATAAATGTTTGAAGAATGGGTCTTAAATTCCAGTATATGAATTTTAGCATGTAAACACATAGTAAATGTTGTTTTCAGGATCACAGTGGCAATCACTTTGTGTAATGTAGAAGGTAAAACACCACAACAGAAGGGCAGCTCTGAGTGAACAGAGCATGAATATGTTAAGAAAGCTCCAACTTATTTTTCAGTTTTGACAGATAGGAATGAGTGACTGGTAATTATATGAAGCTTAGACTTCAGAGTCCATGAATTTATTAAATAATGTAATAGTGAGAAGATGTATAAAGTTCTTCTCTTAGGATCTGTATTGCTCTTATTTGAACTTGGATTATTTTGAGAAAGATAATGGAGTTAGTGGTAGGTGGAATTGCTTTTTTATAATTTTACTGTGCTTTGAGGGGAAGGAACAGGATTATAAACCACCATTATGAAACTGTTTATACACCTGATAGTCACACATGGTTGGACTCAGTTGGCAAGCTTTTCTCCAGCAGTTAGTGCTTCATAATGGAGGTGTCCCTCTTCTAGATATATTCATTACCTGAGCTTTTGAATGCTTTTAAATATCTTCCAGTTTTCTTCATTGCCTCCAGTTCGTGTGGTGTTTGAGGTGACCATGGAGGGCAGCGCCCGGAAGGTGATAACGGTGCGCTCGGCCTTGATGCTGAGGAACAAACTGGAAATCCCAATGGAGCTCAGACTGGACAGTCCCTCTGCCCCTGACAGTACGTGCTGGACACTCCTGGGATGTTTTCTGAAAAATCCCTTTGCCAGGATTCCCTCTCCTGGGAAGCTGGGAAGCTTCAGCTTCTCCATGTTTTACTACTTTGGAATGCGAATTGGCGAATTGTTTACCCAGCGTGTGAATTGTTTTTCATTAATGACCAATCCCAGCCAGCTGTGTCAGACTCAGTCTGTCATGAGTTTTTATTTTTCATTCTTTGTTAGCCTTCTGATGTCTCCCTTCTCTTTCTTTAGTATAGTTTTAGTACATAATTTTCATATAATGCAATACAATATAATATAATATTACAATACAGTACAATATGGATATAATACAGTATAGTACAGTATAATATAGTATAGTATAACATGAATATATTATACTATATTATTATTAATATTATACTATATTATTATATATAGTATAATAATATACTATATTATATAGTATAATATAATAATAGTATGTATAATATAGTATATAGTATATATATAGTATAGTATAATAATAATATACTATAATAATATTATAGTATAGTATAACAGTCAGCCTTCTGAGAACTTGGAGTCAATCCTCATCTCTCACCTGATCCTGGGACCCTCACAACACCACAACAATTAATAACCACACTGTCATTCATATTGCTGTCATTCTTTATGTGCTGTGGGGAGTCCAGCTTTCTCCCCAAGAAGATTCACCACTGTCTGTAATGCTTTACACCAGAACAGACCTCCCTGGACAGGATCATGCTAAGAGGAAGACAGTCAACAAGAGATAGATTCCAGTAGGATTTTCATTTGTTGTTCAGATAAAAAAGAAAAACTGAGACTCTGTAAAGACTTCATCTTATTTCTGTATGTAGCAAAGTTGTCTCTTTAGCAGCAGTTGGTTCAGAAAAAAATTTCCTTGGAGAAAAGTTGGAAAAAAGTCTTTATTTAATAGACAAAGCATTCACCTTTGGTGTTACCATGCAAAGATTTAGTGTAGAAATCTAATGATACTTGATAATGTACCCAAAAGGTTTGAAGAATGAGGTTTTTTAAACAAGCATTTCCACTGAAGAATTTGAGTACCAGCTGTTTCAGATTTACACACTGAAATTAGTCTGCTGCCAGATTGTTAATAGAGCTGAAAATAACAGGTTGGTTTTTGAAACATGCATAAAGGAGGAAGTGATTTACATTAAAATTAAACCTATTGCCTTAAAAATTTGAGACTTACGACTTCAAAATTTTATGATTTTCCGTAAAGGAGCCTCTTTTAATGTGTTTTCTTCTCTGGTTGCAGAGCCTGTGGTGCTTCCAGCAGTGATGCCAGGAGATTCCTTTGCCATCCCACTGCACCTCACATCCTGGCGTTTGCAGGCCAGGCCCAAAGGAATGGGATTCTTCTTCTCCAAGGCTCCCATTCACTGGACCAATGTGCAGAAGGCAGCAGAGGTGTGCAGCAGCAAGAGGGAGTGTCATTCCATGGAGTCTGAGAACAGCAGATTTTTCAGGTAATCAAAGCCTAATTCTTTTTCTGTAAGCTCTGATAAATCCTGTGAAAGTAAATAACAGGAAAGAAAATGCTGGAGGTGAAAGCTGCTGCAGTTTAGGGGGATGTTTTAGTGGGTCTGTTGAATAGTGAGAAAGCAGTGAAGTGTGGCTGCTCTGTTTCTGCAGGGCTCCTTGAAGCTCCTCTGGCAGTGCCTGTTAAACCTCTGACAATACAAAGCATGCTATGAATATTATTGTTAAAAAAAAGAAAATTCAGAAAATAGAATGTGAACTTGCATTAAACTGACTGCTCAGTCTCACTTAGGATAATGAGTGGTTTTTCCAAAAGAATGTTCACAAATATTCATTCTTTGTCCTCAATGTCCTCTGCTCAGTTCTGAGGCCAAAAATGTCTCTGCATAGTGAGGACTTAATGGAGTTTTGTAGTTTTCTGCTGCAATTGATTTTATTTTTATTTATTGCTCTGAATTTAGGAAATACTAGGATAGGGATTATGGAAATTGTGTCAGGAAATGACCTTTGCCCACTATATAGTTATTGCTGTGTGTCTGTTTCATAATTCATTTCCTAATATGCTGTTTTTTAATGGATCACAGGGAACAAAAGAAACAAATTATTTAAAATGAAGGTTTACCAACTCAATTTTTCACCTTAACTAATGAAAAACTGAAATGTCAAGTGGTTAGAGCAAGGATATATCTACTGTGAAGGAGACATTAAGCATTTATGTTTAAGAACATGATTACAATTTACTCTAATGGTTAAAAATCTCTTTTTAGTAGCAGTTAAGAGCATGCTTTTGCAAGTTTATGAAAGTTGGTTTTAAATGTGGTAATCTCTAATTTTCTGTTAGGTCTCTAAACAGATCCGTTTTGGGGGAGCTAACTTCAGTCTTTGATTAAAATCAGAAAACTCATGTTGTCTTAATGTCAGACATAAATCCAAAATACCTTATAATAACCTACAAAGTGATTATGTTGAGAACAACTCTAAATGCTGTTTTTTCTTATTCATCCTGAAGTCTGAGGACTTAGTGCACTACAGAAAGATGGAGTTTAATTGTTCTGTCAAATTCATTGACTCTCACACGTGTCTTCATTCCCAGGTTCTGTGTGGCTATAAAGAAAGAAAATTACCCAGATTACATGCCTTCTAGCATATTCTCTGACAGTGCTAAGCAGATTTTCAGGCAGCCTGGGCACACCATTTATCTGCTGCCAACAGTGGTGATCTGCAATCTGCTGCCCTGTGAGCTGGAGTTCTACGTGAAGGGTTTGCCCATCAGTGGGACACTGAAACCTGGCAAAGA